AGGTGCATCTCACTGGGTTTTAAACACCAGAGGCTCAGCCTCAAAACTCACGTCTACATGTCACCACAGTAGGACAAACCGACAGACAAGTTTTTTCTGCTGTTGGAGACCTCTCATATCACCCCCACCTGGGTCCCTGTGGCTGACTGTTCCTCTTTCTGTCTTCCTGTCTTTTAATCCCCTTTCTCCTGCTCTTCTGGCCTGCTACTCTGGGCGTCCCTGAGTTGTCTCTCATCACCTGTAACCCTGGGGCTGACATGAGATGACATATAACATGAGATGACATCAGGACATGAGATGACTTATAACACTGGACAAGTTGGATGCAAGGGATCTCTTTCAAGCGCTGAGGAATAAGGATGTCTCTCCTTTTGGACTCTGGTATCATAATGGCTAAAGCACTTGACTGCTAACCAGAAGGCTGGCGGTTCAAACCCAGCAGCCACTCCTCGGAAGGAAGGTTGGGCAATCCTACTTCCGTAGTGATACTGGCTCGGAAACCCAAGGAGGGGTCACTATGAGTTGGGGCCGACTCGACAGCAAACAACAACAACAACAACTCCTTTTGGACTAAGGTGCATCTGACACAAACCATATTTTCAATCACCTTGCATGCATATGAGAGCTCAACAATGAATAAGGAAGACCAAAGAAGAATAATGCTTTTGAGTTGTGTGCTGGCAAAGAATGCTGAGAATACAATGGACTACTAAAAGAACTAACAGATCTGTGCTGGAGGAAGTTCAGCAGGAATGCTCCTTGGAAATGAGAATGGCCAGGCTTCATCGCACCTACTTTGGTCATGTTGTCATAAGGGAAGGCCCTCAATGAGATGAACTGATACAGTGGCTGTGACAATGGGCTCAAGTATAGCAAGGATCATGAAGCTAGCATGGAACTGGGAGTGTTTCCTTCTGCTGTGCATAGGGTCACTATGAGTCGGACATGACTCGACAGCACCTAACAACAACAACAAATGTGTATATTCCATAGTAAAAAAGACAGATTTTCTTTTACATTCAACATAGTAATTACTTTGAGCCAATTTCCACATTTACACTTAAATAAAATATCGTGACTACTTATTCAAGTTAAGAAAAGCTATTGCAATCTAAATATGTCAGGATAAAAATTCAGATCATTATTGAACATGCAAATAATTCTGTTGTATAAAAACTGATGTTTAAAATTCATTAGTCAAAGTAATTTCTAGCACTTCTGAGGTGTACTGTGAACAGACTCGTCTGATTTGTTCTTGATAACTATCCCTTCTCTTTAAAACAAGTAGAACTGTGTAAGTTCTGGTGAAATACATTGACAGGTAGAGAGACCCTCAGCTTCTGTGCCATAGAAGTAGAAGCATAACTGGTGCAGATGATAACAGACATGGAACTTTAGTGGATTATTCTAAAATTTAATTTAATTTGAAATAACTAGTGAGGTCATTAATTTTAAATCCATTATTTTGAAAATGAACTCCAAACATGTTTATCATTCTTTCATTTTAAAGGAACTCTCTTTGTATTAAATTCAATACATATATATATATATTTGAAAGAGAAAAAGTTATCAGTGCATTGTGTAATAGATGAGAATCTATCTCAAGCTAAGTCTCCCAATAATGACTATGAGTTCAAATCCCTATTTTTTAGGAATTGAATTTTGAAAAGATTGAAAACACAGTAAATTGGGAAATCGAATGTCATTTTATATGCATGTATGCAAAATATATGATATATTTTAAATACTAAATGAACCTTCACAAAGATTTTAAGTATCTTCTTGAATATTGGAGCTGGATTATGTAATATTACTAATATAAGGGAGCAACAATATAAGTTCCCTTTTATATTTTGCTTACAGGAAAATTTTAACCTTTGAATAATTACACCATTAAGAATGAATTTTTGCCAAGCATGCACTATCATAGATGTCTGTAAAACATCATTTTTCAAATCTTAAGTTTGTTGGTATACCTACATACTTTTTGAAGGCATCTCTCAGGGATTCTTTGACTTTCTCATTCCGGAAACTATAGATGAAAGGATTCAGCATTGGTGTTATGATGGTGTTCAGCACTGTGGCAAATTTGTTAATATCCACTGCATTACCTTTTTTGGGACGGACATAGAGGAAGATGGAGCTCCCATAATAAAGTATAACCACTGTGATGTGAGAAACACAGGTGGAGAAAGCTTTCTGCCTTCCCTGGACAGAGGGAATCTTAAGGATAGTTATGACAATGTAGGTGTAAGACACTCCTGTGAGAAGCAGGGAGCCCAAAAGCAACACAGCAGAAGAGATGAAGTCAACCATTTCAGCCAGAGAGATATCTACACAGGCTAGCTTTAGCATTGGGGCTCTGTCACAGAAAAAATGATGAATTTCATTCGGTCCACAAAATATTAAGGGGGCAGTTAAGACAGATGGCCCCAACATTGACAAGAATGCACCTACATATGATCCCAGAATCAAGAGTATACATGTCTGTTTGTTCATGATGATGGCATATCTCAGAGGGTTGCAGATGGCAACATATCGGTCAAAGGACATGATAGCAAGGATGACAAATTCTGTAGATCCCAACAGAAAGTAGAAGATAGATTGTATGAGACATCCCACAAAGGATATTGTTTTGGTGAGTGAAAAAGTGTTGGCTAACATCTTTGGCACCACTGTGGAGGTGATGGTGACCTCAATGAAAGAAAGATTTGCTACAAAGAAATACATAGGTGAGTGAAGATGATAGTCAATACACACCAGAAGAATAATCACGGTGTTGCCAATTAGAGATGTCATATACATGACCAGGAATATAGTAAAGAGGAGAAATTCTATTTCTTTCCCATTCTGAAACCCTAAAAGGATAAATTCAGTGACTCTGGTCTTGTTTCTGTGATCCATAATATTCTCAGTTCAGCCTGGAATAACAGAAAATAAGCTAAAGTTTGGCTCTTGCATCTTAACTATAGAAATACTCTACAAATATACCTTTACTAAGTTTAGTTTTCATGTTGTTGTTGTTATGTGCCATTGAGTTGGACCCTACTCATAGCGATCCCTCCTTGGGTTTCTGAGGCTGTATCATGGAAGTAGATTGCCCAATCTTCATTCCAAGGAGTGGCTGGTGGGTTTGAACCACCAGCCTTCTAGTTAGCAGTCAAGTGCCTTAAGCACTATGCCACCAGAGTTTTTGTAGTGGAATATTAATGTAGACAAATTATTATTTACTCAAAAACAAAAAAGAAACTCACAGCCATCAAGTTGATTCTGATCCATAGCAACCCCCTTTGGGTTTCTGAGGCAGTAAATCTTTATGGAAGTAGATTGTCCAGTCTTCCTTCTGTGGAGTGGCTGGTAAGTTTGAACCATCAACCTTCTGGTTAGCCTTAGGCACTATACCATCAGAACTCTCCTGAAATGAACTTTGTAAAAGAAAGATATAAAAGCTCAGAGATGACAACTTATTTTGGAAGAAACCTTTATACCTCCCATAAGTGAATAGAGTCTAACAGTGAGTTAATCTGTTCACAAGTCATGTGAAAAAGTCTTAGAAGGTGTTTTCAGTATAGATTTGATATTGGATCATTATTCTACTCTGAATGCTGTTGTTCAAGGTACTGAGTTCCAATAAAACATAATTCTGCATTAATTTGAATGTGAAAAAGCCTTATTTTAGAACTATGTGTACTATTTCATATGTAGAATAAATTTATTTAAAAATAAGTAAACATCATCACATCATAGGCATGTTCCTTAAAGCTCATGACTCCTGACTCATCAGATCTAGTCTCCATATAGACACATTGGCTGCTAACAATATAAAATAAGCCATATGTATCTCCGTAAGAAATTGGGTCTCATGGTAAATGAGATTTGCACAGATCATTGAAAGGTAAGTAAAACAATGGAACATATAACTTTTTCATTATTAACTGTGCTTTGGTTACTTCATGTTGCTGTAACAGAAAATACCACAAATGAGTGACTTTAACAAACAGGAACTTATTCTCTTACAGTTTTGGAGACCAGAAGTCTGTGTTCAAAGCACCAGGCTCTAAGGGCTCGACCTTGGGTTTCAGCTCTCCCTCTCGCTCCTGGCCCATTGGAGCTAGAGGTGTCTCTTCAGCTCAGGTAGCTGCTAGATCCTGAGGCTAACAAGCCCAAGGTTGACAAGTAAAAAGGCAGCACAGTCCTGATATTACCAAACCACATGGCAGGAAATTGATTCAAGTCCATCAAGAGTCGCAAGAGCCCCTGACTATGACCCCTAGCTGCCCTTCAGGTCTAGAATTGAACTCATTCCTGTGACTTCCAGTCAAACAAAAAACAGGCATATGAGGTGAATACTCATATTAGATAGATATACTCCTTGGAGAGATCAATCATGGCAGAATAGAATGGCTGTGTATGCACAGGAAGACAGCTCCGGGGACAGGGACGCATGGGAGGGAAGGACACAGGAAAGAAGTGGCTATGGGGAGGAAGTGGGAAGAGCACTCTGCAAGTGGGAAATTGCAGTCAATGTCGTGAGACAAAGCATATGTGAACTGCTGTATGGAAAATGAATTCGCTCTGCAAACTTTCAGCCAAATCACAACAAAAATTAAAACAAAAAAAGAGTCCTAAGATTGGCAAACCACATGGCAGGCTGGTAAATGAAGATTCCACTAAATGCAGCATTCTAATGTGTCAAAATCTAGAGACTGCCCTCAAAGTTGCTTCTTATATTTGAGAAGCAGACCACATCCCTAAAGCAGCTACTCAGCTCCTCCAGTAGATTCTGCCATGTAGTTGATTACCAGTCTCATCATGGGGAATAAATACATCCAGCTGTCCAGTCACCCAAATCCAGGCCCATCCAAGTTGACACATAACCTTAGCTACCTACAACTGTCTTTCCATTGGAACTCAATCATAGAGAGCAAATGTTCAGCAAGAGGTGTGGAAATACAGCACTTCTTAATTTTGCCTAATCCTAGGAGAAGGAACACCAGCCAAATAATGTTTAATTCAGACTAGAATTCAAGGGCCAATAATGAAGAGAAAACATAAAACTTGTTGCAAGGAATGAACTTTTTTTACTTACCCCCTAAACTGACTATTTTGTGAGTGTGAACATTGCATCATAAATCTTAGAAATTGATGGCAAGAAGCAAAGATTAGGTGCCAAGAGTTAATTTGTATCCTAATTTATAAGATGTTTGGAAGTTTGATACTGGTAGGGGAGAAACAACATTAGGTGAGTGGGATAATTATTGCTACTTTTCTTATAAATTGATGGAAGGAGAGATGATTTTAAATGTTACCAGTATTTCACAGAATCAGTATTTGAAATAAGACCCTGTATTTTTTTACTTAGGCTTTCTTGCACATCCTGGACAAAAAAAAAAAATTTAATAATTCATTCTTTACCTCACTGATTATGTTACATTTACATAATTACAATTGGAGTGCATAACTTTATTTTAACTCAGTTTAAAATGTGATTAATGACAAAAAGGAGAAAATAGACAAATTTGGTATAAGATGGTGTTTGCTCTAGATTTTCCTATAACAAATCTTTAAATTTCTATTATATTAATTTATTATTTTAGTTTTTAAAAAGACACATTTTTAATAAGTTTTAAGGCTTTAATCAGATTGGTTCCTGTGCAGAAAGGGGAAAATTTTAAAGAATTTCATGAAAAGTCAGAGATATTTATGAAGAAAGAATATTTCTTTGAATTTCTTAGAAGAAATATTACTGTGGTCAGATAAAGGGTGGCGTGAATGTGAACAACTGATGGCATCTTGAGGGTGCTGGCAGTGTCATCAACAGCTGAAGAAAAGGCAAAAGCTAAACACTCAAAGGAAGGCAATGTAGATCCACTCAGTTCAACTTCCAAAGTTTCCATCAAGTAAGAAATAAGTGCAAGGATCAGGAGAAAAAGCAGAGGAGATAATGGTAACTGTGAGGATGAGAAGAAAATAAATGGTTCCAAAGAACATCTGCTATAAAATAGTATTATAAGCTCTCTACTTACATGCTGAAAGGTACCTCAGGACATTAACTATGTTCAAGTGTAAAGTTTCAGTTTCTCTTGTTTATAAGTTCATGATTTGGATGAGATCTGATATTGGAATTACTTCTATAAATTCACTCTATTTTCTGATAATATCAGGATGTTAGGAAACAAACGAATAGAGAATTTGGCCATTAAAATAGAAATACTTATAGAGGTGTTGCCTTGGAATAAACTCTGAAACTTCGATGACTACATCTCTAAATCTTTGGAACTTGGAAAAAATGTGTAAAACCTGATTTTATTATTGCTGCTTCTCTAGAGACAGGAGTTCTCTTAGATC